CTTTTCATGACCCAACATACCACGTATATTTACTCACGTCTTGTATCTCTGCCCCGGAAGACGCTAAGTCCCATGAGAACAGAGATTTTTTTTTTTTTTTAATTTTAAGTTTATTTGTTTATATGAGGGTGGTGGGAGGGGCAGAGAGAGAGCGAGAGAGAGAGGATCCCAAACAGGCTCTCTGCTGCTAGCACGGAACCCGACCTGGGGCTCGATCTCACGAACCATGAGATCTTGACCTGAACCAAAATCAAGGGTCAGCTGCTCAACAGACTGAGCCACCCAGGTGCCCAGAGAACAGAGATTTTAATGTTTTGATCATTACGAAATCATCAGCGCCTAGAATCATGCCTGCCATATACAGGAGGCTCTCAGTAACTATTTCTCGAATGCATTAATGAGACATAATAGAATTGCTAACCAGGCGGCCTTTACGCACATATCATTTCTAAAAAGCTCAAAGTGATGATAATATGTGTCCCACTTACCAATCGAATACATAAATATCACAAATCAATCAGCACAAAAATTTCTCCCTTACAAGCGATGAAAGAAGGGCAAATAAAAACAATGTGACATTTTCTCTGTCAAATTAGCAAGTATGTTTTAAAACCCAATCGACAGTGCCCAGTGTCAGAATGGGTCAACATTTCTCACGCTGTTAATGGGAAAGCAATCTGACAACATCTCTGCAAAACATGGTGGCAATAGGTAGCAGCAACCTTAAAAATAGTTGTTAAAAATATAAATATTATATTATATATAAATATATATTATATTAATCATTTCATTTTAAGAAACAATCTGAAGAAATAACAAAAGAACTGGGCAAAGACATATAAGAAAACATTTCCTATAACATTGCTTATAATATAAAAAAAAATTGGGGGCACCTGGGTGGCTCAGTCTGTTAAATATCCCACACTTGATTTTGGCTCAGGTCATGATCTCGCGGTTTGTGGGTTCGAGCCCCACGTCGGGCTCTGTGCTGACAGCTCGGAGCCTGGGGCTGCTTCAGATTCTGTGTCTCCCTCCCTCTCTGCCCCTCCCTTGCTCATTCTCTGTCCCTCTTTCTCTCAAAAATAAATTTAAAAAAAATGAAAAAATTGAAAAAAAAGTAGGATGTCTGAGAAAATACAGTGAGTGGCACCAGGACCTTTCTCCCCTTTTGTGGCCGGACACCTGGTGCCTGACAAATGTCGTAGAAGCCCCGACCTCCTGAGGGTTCCTATCTTTTGAGAGCAAAAGGGAAAGAGAAGAGGCACAAACGCTGGAGGGGAGTGAAGTCATTCTCCCGGCCCCGATTCTAGTGCGATTTCCTCGCCACGTGTATTTGTCAGATGTCTACCCTGTGCCAAGCATGACTGTAAAGAACTTTATTGACGTACACATGCTATAAAACAGAATGCATGTACTTAAAACAGAATACTTTCTAAGTTTTGACCTATGTATTAGTCTGGGAAACCCAGACCGAAAGCAGAACGATTCTCATCCCTCCCCAACCCCCCACCCCAGGCCCCCAACCCAATCTGCACACAAGCACTGGTCTGACTTCTGACGCTGTAGATTTGCTGCCTAGATGTACTGTGATTTGCTATGAACAGAACCAGCCGTGTTCTGTGTGGTTTCTGTCATTGGGCGCAATTATTTTCGGATCCATCAATGTTGAAACATGTTATCAGTAATCAGGTTCCTTTGACTGCTTGGTGCTATTTCCTTCTATGGACACATGGCCGTCCATTCATCTGCTGATGGACATTCGTCCCCTTCCAGGCCTGGGTTAGTGCAAATGAGACATCCACTGACGTTCAGGAGCCAGGCTAGTGAAAACTGCTGGATACCACGAAGTAGAAAGCCTGGGTCACGGGGAAGGGATAGGTTTAACTTTTATTTTAAGTCAACTGTTTTATAAAGCGGCCAGCCGGGGGCACCTGGGTGGCTCGGTTGGTTAAGCGCCCGACTCTTGATTTCGGCTCAGGTCATGATCTCATGGTTCATGAGTTCTAGCCTCACATGGGGATCTGTGCTGACAAGGCAAATCCTGCTTGGAATGTCCCTCCCTCTCTCTCTGCCTCTGCCCCACTCATGCTCGCTCTCTCTCTCTCTCTCAAAAACAAATCAATAAACTTCAAAAAACTAAAGTGGCCACCATTTTACTCCCCACTAGAAGAAAGTCTGGTTTCTCCACATCCTCTCCTACACTTGAAAAGGTGATTTTTTTTTCTTAAATTATATCCATTCTGATGAGTGTGTAACGGTATCTCCCTGCAGCTTTAATTTCCACTGTTGACCATGATTGTTCACGCCTCCCCCCGCCATCCGTCCATTTTCCTACATTAGCCGTTTGCCATCAGAGCCGCAAACGACGTTCTTCCAGCTGGAACTCACGTCGAAGCGACAGAGCCATCAGCCGCCGCCTGGGAGGAGAGAGCTGAACGTATTGGCAGTAAAATGAGAATAAGCCTTCTGGAGAAAATGCAAGTGGCTGCCGTCCAAACGAGGCATAATTGTTCCTCCTGCGAGGTGACCGAGCTCAGCCACCGACAACGAGGTATGTGTCCTGTGTGTGAGGTCGACTGCCCACGGCACTAAACACAGTGAAGACCTCCTCACAGAGGTCACCTCCTTCCTGCTGGGAGGCGAGTGTGAGGCAGGAAGAGCCAGGACCCTGGCGACAGGGGCGACCCGGCCGCTCAGTCCCTGGCTGGCTGAGTGACGCCCGCAAATCCCCTCCCAACTCCGGGAAGAGCGAGATAATGACCCAGGACCCAGAGGCTACAATTGCTTAGATGGTGTCCATCCCGATCAGATACAGTCTGTGAACTGCAGCCGCTAGAGACGGCGGGGGCTGGGGTGGAGGGGCGTTGGGAGGTCAGGGAGGCACGCGGTCCCGGCTGCCGCGCAGGGACCACTGCGCAGCGGGATCGCGGCCGCCGTACGACCTCTGCTGACTCGCTCTCTGACCTTGGCAAGCCGTTTAAACTCCGAGCCTCAGTGTCCGGGTCGCAGACGGGACCACAGCGGCGCCTGCTCACCAGGAGCCATCACCAGGGGGCCCGGGGGGCATGGGCGCGTCTGCAGGGGGCGGTGGCGGCTGGGACTCCGTTAGTTTTTCCCAGAGGATGATGTGGGTCCACTTCAGCCAGATCTTCCTTTTCTTCCCCCTCGGATAAGCCAAAAACCTCGACTTTAAGGAAAATTCCTAAACGCAAATCTTTAAAATTAAGTACAAAAAATGTAAAACTATTGGGGGGCCCAACATACCACGTCTGTCCAGCCTACAGATTGCAATTACACGTTTTCAGGAACGAGGCACACGCGCGGCTTTAATCCCCTAGTGTGACCTCGGCTGCGGCCCCGTAACTAACTATCCCGCGTTGAGTAAATGCAGGCCTCCACTCCCCCTTTATGCTCCCAGCAAAATCACCTCCGCTGGGCAGCTGGGGAAACAGGCTCAGAGAGGTTCGGAGATTTGGCCCAGGTCACACAGCCGGGCAGCGGTAACGCAGGGATTTGAACCCAGCTCTGCCCACACCAGGAACACTGTGCACACTATGCGCCGCCCGTCTCCTCCCGCCCGGCCTCTTGAGCATCCACCTCCTCAAACCGCCCTTCTGGGGGCAGATCATGATCAAATGCACACTGGACACGATCAAACGCACACTGGACCGGATGTCTCCATTCAGGACCGAACAGCCGGGTTTTCAGACATCACCCCAGGCAGCAGGGTCTGCTGCTTCCCTCGTCCACCCTCTGCTTGCCGTGCGTGCTTGGAAGCAGCCAGAGACGAAGCGGCTGTGGGCTCGAGGCAGCTCATTCTGGCTGCGCTCCTGCTTGAGCATCATTAAGTAGAAGTTGCTGTCTCTGCTACAGATGGGGCCGTTTTGGTTTGGGTACATCGATGTGCTATGTTTAGAAATCGCATTCAATTTAAACGTTGCAGCCTGGCTCAAAATATTCCCGGTGCTGTCAGCTTACGGTTTTCTGTCCTCATCAGTATTCTTGCCCCAGGTAGGCACCGACCATGTCAGGGTTTGCTCGTCCCACGGGGGGTCCTCAGCACTCTGAGAATCGAGGACTTTGTACCGTCTCCTTCGGTCTCCATCTCTCCATAAGCGGACTTGGACTCAGGGTTATGGACCGAACCAGATGGAGAGACTACACTGATTGGCCTACATGAGACTTGGATGCCCAATCACGGGGGGCCGCTGAGGGGCAGGGTATGTGCCCCAGGACATTTAGAAGGCCGCTGGCCAACAATTAAGCACGTGGGCTCATCACCGATGCAGCAAGAGGCAGTGGAGGTAACGCCGACCTGGATCCGGAGACACTTGGGTTCAAATCACATTTCAGCCAACGTGCAGTTTGGCAAAGTACATTTTTGGCGTTGACTTTGTTGATCTACTTTCGCGTCAAAGAACTTATGCTACTGTCACGTTGTCCCTTCTCGGGATTTATTTTTTCAATTTCAAACCATTTACTAAGCAATAGATGCAGGTGAGAAAGGAAATAACCAAAGAGCACGGAAGAGGGTGTCCAGAAGCAAATCCGCCTCACCGTAGCCATTCTCCATCCCCCAAGCCGTGCGTTAGTCCCGAGAACGCTCGCTGTTGTCATTCTTGGGCGAGGTGGGTCTGCTGGGAGTACGTCGTATGTATTTCCTGTCTGCACCTCACCGTCTGCCGCACTCCGGCATCACCTGTGACAGAGGCCTCCACCGGCTGTGTGGGACCCTGTCTGGGGCACCGGGTGCTTCCCTCCTTGGCAAGTCAGCGGGACAGCAGCCGGGACGAAGCTGGTATCTCACGAGCAGGCAGCCTCACCTGCCCAGACGCAGCCCGGCTCCTGCCAAGGCGAGCCTGGTTTTACAGAGCTGCATCTGAAACGGGAGATTCGAACAGCCCGCAAGGGAGCCCCAGATGGGAACTCTTATTGGATGTAAAATGGCAGGGAGGCTGTCTGGCTCTCCCAGAAAATGAGACGCTGTTCTGTCCCATTAGGTTTCCTGCGGCCTGGGCAGCTCATTGCTGTGCGCACTAACCAGCTCCATCTGCAAGCCGTCCTCCCCCGGAGAGGGATGGGACCTCGTCATCCCCGTCCACGAATGGGCTGCCTCCTCGGCCGAAGGTGAGCATCTTCCAGAGGCAGAGATCGTTCTGGGGAGGACCAGGAAAGGCAGCCAAGTGGGCGGAGGTCTTTCAAAGCTTTCCTGCTCCCTGTCTGCTCCCAGGTAAAAACCTGGCAGCTTCTTTCACCTAATCTTGAACAGGTTACTTCCCTCAAGGGTATTAGTGTTGTAAGCGTGCTCCTTAATTGTGGGTAAGACGCACGACGGATTGCATTTACCAAAAATGCCTGCAACGATGCCGTCTACGTTATCTCACTGTGACTCGGGGCTCTCGCCATCCTGCAGCGAAGGGCACGTCTCCTGCCCGTGATCTCGGGCAGATGTGTGGCCGTGGTAGAAGTTACACTCTGTGACCTTTGAGGCCTCCTCACAAAAGGCCCGATCCATCTTTCAAAGGAGGAAAGGTTTGGAGTTCATCAATGTTAGTTTGGATCCTTCCTCTCCTGTTAAAAACGTGAAAATAAATTTGGCACATTTTTTCAAAAACGGCATGCCGCATGCTGGTGTGCTTTTATAGCACATCGTCGCCATTCATTCGGTGATCCATTTATAGCCACGCTGTTGGGTTAGGACTGAAGAAATGACAGTCTTCCGAGATGAAAAATGCAAGATTTAGGATCTTAGGGTTTGAGGTGTTTTTTTTTCTTTTTTGTTTTCAACTGCCTATGTTGCCTGACTTTTCTAGAATAAGCATCTTTTAAAATAAAAACTGAAGTCGTAACCAAAACACGACGGGGCGTTGGCAGACGGAGGCGGGCAAACATTTTGCCTACAAGCTGCCACCTACCCGTCACTGCCCACGCCTCAAAGGAGCTCTCGAAAGGAGATTTTGGGGCGCCTGGGAAGCTCAGCCCGTTGAGCAACCAACTTTGGCTCAGGCCGTGATCTCATGGTTCGTGAGTTCGAGCCCCGCGTTGGGCTCTGTGCTGGATCTCCCTTCCTCTCTGACCCTCTCCTGCTCACGCTCTCTTTCTCTCTCTCTCTCAAAACTAAATAAAAATATTTTTAAAAAATGTCATCTTGAGAGGAGGTAAAATAAAAGCCATTAAAAGCACTACAATCAGGACCATCCTGTGCAGGAAGGGCTGTAGCCCTGTGTCCCAGGCAGCCACGGGCACGGTGACCGCTGGACGACACGCCTAGAACTGGTCAGTGCTCATGTCTTGCTTCTGCTAAACTTTTGAACTCTCTCCCTTCTCCTCTCTCCTCTGTGTTTTATTTTAAAGCATACAGACCTAGGGGCGCCTGGGTGGCTCAGTCGGTTAAGCGTCCACCTTTGGCTCAGGTCATGATCTCACAGTTCATGGGTTCGAGCCCCGCGTCGGGCTCTGTGCTGACAGCTCAGAGCCTGGAGCTGCTTCAGATTCTGTGTGTGTGTGTCTCTCTCTCTGAGCCTCCCCTGCTCACGCTGTCTCTCTCTCTCTCTCTCTCCTCTCTCAGAAATAAATAAAAACCTTAAAAAAAATAAAGCATACAGACCTAAAATGATTTGTATTATGAATTTTTATTTGCTTACTATAGGATAAGCTTTTTATTATTTTTTATATTATTTTGTTTATATTTGATAATTATATTTCTATTTTATAGTTCTATTATTTTATAGGATTTATTATTATATATTGTCCTCTTCAATGTACTCCCATGAGATGTTTCTGGTGGAAATTAGTTTACCCATTTATAGATAAAAACATTAAGTTCACATAATCCTAAGACACGCTTCCGGGTCCCACTGGTAATAAATGGAGAACTGGGATTTGAACTCAGGGAGTCTGAACGTATTAGTATAATGGCTCCAAGGGCATGAATGAATTACAACATGAACACTGAGCTCCATGGGTCAGCTGTGTGCACCAGCACGGAAGCAGAGGTAGCGCGAGCATTTTCAAGCAGGCATCTTGGACTCCGAGGTCATGAAGGTGGAAGATTCTGGAAAGAGTTTTCCCTTAGTGGACTTGGTAGTCAGGACTTCCCGTCGTGGTGAATTGCTGGGCCTCCTATCCACAGTGACGGGCTTATTTCTTCAAACAGCAGGTCACCGTCTGAGAATGCAGCACCTGACATCACGGCCCGTGAGGAGGTATGAACCAGGAGCTCAGCCCTTCCCAACCTGTCTCCCTCGTCCCTCACCACTAACAGTACAGAACAAGGGCAGTCACCCAGCCTGTGGCACATGTGGCCTCAGTAGGTGCTTTTGAAGTGGATCACAAATATTAGAGATCGTGGCAGAAACTTTAAGAACTTGTCATGTCCTGTTTGCCCCAGAAACACCCAGAATTCTGTTCCCAGCTGACGAACAGCCATTTTTCTTAAGGGCTTGTTTATCTGGGTCTACGTTTTTCACTTCACCTTAAGAAACTGCACATCTGTGAAGGTCATCCTGAAAAGATGCGGGTCAATGGAACCAAATACCTTTTGAGTTGATTTTCCCTCTTCTTGTACATTAAGCTGGCTCCAGTCTGCTCCCTGGGATCAATCATTTTGTATTTCTTTGTTTCTGAGTGTGTCCGAGGAAATGACTTTGCATCTAAATCCCGTCATCGGGCCACCGTGGCAGGTGCTGTCACAATGCTCGTTGGCATTCCTGGCTATGGGGGGGGGGGCGCAGATGTGGGCAGGGGGCTGGCGTGGGGCATGCTGGCAGTGAGGCCCCCACTCTCCTGGGACCCCATGTCCTCAGTGCTTACAGAGGGCGCTGCTCACTCTAGCTTATGCCAAAGCATGAAGGCCAACTTGCCCCAGGTTTATTCTGGAAACCAACAGCCATACTAGACCCTCGTGGGGTGACAGGCTCAAACAAATACCTATACATTTACTTTGGGATCAAGACCTACAAAAGCTTATGAGGCAAGAGTTAATCAAAGATAACTTTTGAAGATAGAAGAACCTGTTTCTTGTTCTAATAAATAGGAACTAATCATACCACCTAGTGTAAATCTTTATTGTTCTTGATCACCATGAAAAGGTATTAAAACTGATGAGTCTGAATTTCTGCGATATGCAGTATACAGTAGTCAGTATACTCAGTAACTAACTCTGACCAGTATTTGCTGGGGGATTAAATGTGATTTGTAGAGAAAATGGATGGATGGATGGATGGATGGATGAATGGATGGATGAATGGATGGATGGATGGATGGACAGATGGATGTGTGGGTGGTTGGATGTGTGGGTGATTGGATGGATAGATGGATGGTTGGATGGATGTGTGGGTGTGTGGATGGATGGATGGATGGGTTGGGGGGTGAATGGATGGATGGGTTGGGGGGTGGATGGATGGATGGATGGATGGACGGACTAACCAATGGTCTGATCTTTTCACGTGAAAGATGGGAACCCAGGCCTAGAGACTGAATCTGACTTGCCAAAGGCCACACGTCTTTCTCACAGATGTACTTTCCAGCTCTCTATTTGGACATGTCCTTTCTGTGTCTTAGTCTGTTCTGGTTATTATAAAAAAAAAACAACACTACAGACTGGGCTGCTTGAACAGCAGAAATGTACTCACAGTTCTGGAGGCGGCAGTCCAAGATCAAGGTGCTGACAGGTAGCAGGTCTTGGTGAGACCACTTCCTGGCTTGAAGAGGGCTGCCTTCTTCCCAAGTTCTGACGTGGGGGTGGGGGGAGACAGAGAGAGACTGAGAAAGCACACACGCTGGTGTCTCTTCTTATAATTCTGTCAGATGGGGCTCTGCCCTAACGTTGGGGTTAGGATTTAAACCTATGGATTTGGGGACAGGGGAACACAATTCAGTCCATAGTGACTTGATTCCATTAAAAAAAAAAAAAAAAAACCACAAGCAAAATCACAGACTAAGTCATCTCAGTCCTTCCTCTCCTCAGAGAGCAGTCAGAGGCAGTCAGTATTTGGGGACAAGGAGTCCCTTCCTCCTGTGAAGACCACCCTGTGCCCTGTCCCAGTAAATGCTCCCCCAGTAGCTGAGCAAATGATATCGCTCCGTCCCTACAGACTTAACATGCCTCCAGCAAGTCTCTGACCTCGAGGGTCCCATCCCCTGCAGGTCCCTGAATGGAGTGCTTCACACTCAAAACAGTGAACAGACCCCAGCCAAGTCTAAAGCCAGACAGGTAGGCGCCAATCGCCTCTGCCTCCAGCTCAAGCCCTGGCCCGTGTCGCAAGGGGGGAGATGGGTTTGGAAAGAGGGATTCACACACTGGCTGCCAACACCAGACGTGTCTCAGGCGCCCTCTGAGAGCCGGGAAGCGGTATTTGGAGGATGCGGCAAAGAACAGGCTAACACAAGTTTAAAGGGGAGCCTTTGGAGCGGATGTTGGAGACAGAAGGATGAGCTGCCATCACTCTCTCTGAATTGGCAGATCACCCGTCTGACAAATGTGCTGAAGGAAATTGCAGGGGTGTGGGGAGGGAGCGGGCTGCTGTCCTAAACCATGGGCTCCAAACTCCCCAAAACCGGGAGCCGCTGGATGATTCTTCTGCCTTCCTTGTAACTTTGTGTTGCTCCATTTCTCTTTCAGACGTGGATCACAGAGAGAGATTTCTCTTTCCTTTTGGACGCTTTAATGTGGTGTGTTTGTGGTATTGGGCTGTTTCTCCTTGGGTGGGCTCGGGAGAAGCTGCCCCTCCACTCTCTAGGTAGCATGGATCCTTCTCAACTCTTCCCAAGGATCGGACCCAGTCTCCACCAGCACAAATGTCCTAGCCTGACTCCCCATTCAACATAAATCCACGAGAGCGAGTTACCATCATATTCACTGTGAATGGAAGCAAATAAAAAATCCAGGGTGCCCTGATGATCATGCTGGAATTTTCACCCAATGTTCAGAAGCTGACCAACACTAACTTAAGCTGAGAAAATTTAAGGCCCCCAAATAAATTTTGTCTCAGTGAAAGAAATAATAAATTCAGGTCCTAGTAGAAAAATATATGGGTTTTATTGAGAAACATAAATCAGGTGAACTAGAGAGTTACTTATTTTAGCAAAATAATTTTTCAGAATTCTCTCGCAGAAGGTAAGAGATT